CCAGAAAAATAACACAAGGCACACACTAATGGGTAACAAAAGAGAGTTTAATAAAGGAATTGTGTACTAAGGGGTAAGCAGGACTAAGGGAAGTCAATAAAAGATACAGAGGCCCCTAAAGATAAGTCATAATTGGGAGCTACTGCCATTGCGCACCCTGAAGGATAGAGGGAAAGGTAAGTTGTCAGACACAGGGTGGGCTATGGCTGTAGTTGTGACCATTACTGTGACCATAACAAGCCAACAGACAGAAGCTATATCCTTAAGTAGGTTAACATCACCATGGTCCACTCACAGTAGAGAGTCAGGGAGTTAAAACCTCATTCACCCTCCTCTTGCCCTCCAATCACCCATTACTGTTACACTTTCCTGAGAGCAAATAGGAGCCAGAGGGAAAAAGGAGCCCAGTGGGGAGGCAAATCAATAGGACACAGAGGAGCTGAAAATTAGATTGGATGGAAAATTATGAAAACCCATCAATTATTATAGTCTCCTCACAGTTGCTTTTCCTAGGACTTTTTGTCTCCCAATGTAATTACTAGTAGATAAACCTCTCATTACATCTCATCATTTATTTTACTAGATTCTGTTGGCTCATCTTTATTGGGTGTCATTTTCTTCGAATAATATATCTCTCATCACAAATGCCTTGAGGATGGAATGTACATTACTTTTTAGGTGGTTATATGTAAATATACTTAAGAATTTATGTTTATCGTTTTGGTAGCCCTAAAAAGAAGCGCAAGAGAAGTTACTAGAACTGGACTGGTGATTTCAAGGCATCAGACACTTGTGCTCTTTCAAATCACACAAATGAGTTCCCATTTTAGATTTGTCCCTGAGAGTTACTTGCTTCCTGCCCCACCACCCTCCATGTGCACCGGACACACCACCCTGTAAGTGGGGCTGCAGGACAGGGAAAGGTGGAGGATTAAAAGAGGAAATACCATGTAAGCACTCATCAGCTGCTACTCTTCACCTATGTGTGAGTGGATTTATGTCTCACACCTAAATTCTGCAAGAGCGTCCTTCTTTTCAACCAAAGCCTTTTGTAAAATAGAACTAAGCACTTCCTAACTCCACCACCACCACCAGAATTCTCTTACACAAATGCTTTGATCTGCAAAGAAATCTTTACTCCAAATCACATACAGTGACAATAAATAACTTTCATATTACACATATTATCAGAAAATCACTTAATAACCCCACTTTCCATATTTCTGTCTCAACTACCTCTATTCAAACCCTTTGCTCTTCTCCCTCTCCTTCGTAAATGGGCTTATTTCTTCTCTAAAATGCAGAGACATTAAATTCAGTCCTGTGTTCAAGTCTTGTTTTGATTCCAGACCCACAACTGCAACGTTTCTGAGCACGGATATGACAGCCACAGCGTGGGAGACCAACCTCACACCAACCAATGGAAGTGAACAGGCCTTCGATGAACCTGATACAGAGTTCATAATCCTCCAATTACTGACAATCGTCGTGATCCTGGTGGGACTGGCAGGGAACGCGGTGGTGCTCTGGCTCCTGGGCTTCCGCATGCGCAGGAACTCCTTCTCTGTCTACATCGTCAACCTGGCGGGGGCTGACTTCATCTTCCTCTGCTGCCAGATTATACGGTCGCTATGTTTAACTTTCTACTTCGAATTTGTCCCATTTGAAATCTACGGATTTGTCAACGCTGTGACAGTGTTTACCTACATCTCAGGCCTGAGTTTTCTCAGCGCCATCAGCACGGAGCGCTGCATGTCTGTCTTGTGGCCCATCTGGTACCGCTGCCGCCGCCCCAGACACCTGTCAGCTATCACGTGTGCCCTGCTCTGGGCCCTGTCCCTGCTGCTGAGCATCCTGGATAAAAATATCTCTATCTTTCTGTGGAATTTTTTCAGCCAGTCCATGTATCGGGTATTTAATTTCATCACTGCGATGTGGCTGATTTTGTTATTTGTGCTTCTTTCTGGGTCCAGCCTGGCCCTGATGACCAGACTGCTGTGGGGCTCCAAACGGGTACCGCCCACCAGGCTCTATGTGACCCTCGTGCTCACGGTGCTGGTCTTCCTCCTCTGCGGCCTGCCCTTTGGCATCCACTGGTTCCTCTTAATCTGGTTTGAAATGTATTTAGATGCCTTCCCTCTTGTTGACCAGTTTGTAGTACCCCTGTCCTGTGTCAACAGCGGTGCCAACCCCATCATTTACTTCTTCGTTGGCTCCTTCAGGCAGCGATGGTGGAAGCGGAGACACACCCTGAGGCTGATTCTCCAGAGGGCTCTACAGGACACTCCTGAGGTGGATAAACCTGGAGAAAGCCTTCCTGGGGAAACCCTGGCCATGTCGGGAAGCAGTCTGGGGCAGTGATGAGAGCCTCTGTCCTGATCAGTCTGAAGTAACTTCCAGACTCAATATTGCCCTGCCAGGCTTGGAAAGTATCTAGTTTTCTCTCAGTCTCAGCCCCAAAATACTTCAGTGATTCCCCAACCTATTCAAATAGGTTCTTTTTTAACCTGGCTGTTCTAGTTTTTCTCAGAGAAAGCATTAGTCTGAAAGTTATACCTCTCCTTCGTCCTTGGCATTACCAATAAATTTCTCATGTGATCTGAATTTCTTTTTTTTATTGCTTTTTCTTTTCAATTTTCATTGCAACAGAAAGACTCCCTGTCCAAATCAGACAAATCCAGGTCCGAAGTCCTGGTTCTACAGCTCTTGTTTCCAAGCCTCAGTTAATTAATCTGTAAAATGCGGTTGAAATCATCTCCCCATAGGATTATAGTGGGGAATAAATAAGAAAACAGATTGAAGGGACTAAACCAGGTGCCAAATATGACTAAATATTTCATAAACATTAGCTGTTAATATCGTGAAGCCTCTAATACAGTATATTATTGGCTTGGAGGCAATATATAATAAGTAAAAAAAAAAAAAAAGAATCCCTGTCCTAATTTATAAACTGTTGTTCAGAATTTTTTTCTACCTGACTGGGTAGAAAAAGAAGATTCCTTATTTTTCGTTCAGACTGCATGCCCTATAGATTCATGTTTAGTGCTTTGATTGGGGGCATTCCGTAGATAAAAAGCTTAAATAAATGAGTTGGCCCTCCTTTAATCTCATTGGGTTCTCTGGGTTTAGGGAAAATATCCTTAGAGAGAGTCTCTACTGCATAAGCACATACCAGGAAATTGGGCTTGTGAAAGTCCTCCAGTAGCATTTGTCTACAGCATGGTGACAAGTTGGCTTTGGGTTATAGTAAAGAAAACCATGGCCTTTACCTTGGAGAAATGATGAGTGATTATAGTTCTCACCTTGACCAGGGTAGAGTGTAGCACTATATCCCACCAATTCCAATGTTGCCATTGTAACCTCAAGGTCAATTTTAAAATAAAAATTATCTAGAATCACAATTATTAGTAGCATGCAGATAGTAGTTTTGGAATACTCTGTAAGCCTCAAGATTTTGTACAGATTATTCTGGCTGTGAATTATAGTCAGTTTCATGGCCACTCCATGAGTTAGAAACATCTGATCCTGCCCTACTCATGTCATTGTATTGGTAGAAACTTAGGTTCATGCCAGAATTCTGGACTATTCTCTGACACTGGTTACACAGTCCTCAGAGAACTCAGGCAGACGTTGAGGGTCCACTATGACAAGGTGACAACAGACAGGGCTGTCTGTTCACAGACAGTGAGGCTGCCCCATATATTTACACTCAGAGAGAAGAATTCACAAATGAATGCTGACTGCTCTGGAGACACTATAGATAGCTGTGAAAATGATAGTAACTACAGTTTTCCACTTTTCCAACCAAATATATCCATCAGAACTAGGTTTCCCAACGTTTGATCCAATGCTCTTTCCAGTTCATCACTTTCTGATTCTGTGTCCTACAAGCGTCCCCTTCATTTCCAGATGCTGTACTAGGCTTGGCTGTAGTAAGGGGTTCCTCAGCTGGATGACAGGGTGGTGGAAGAAGGTAGGAAGATAGTGCATGTAGTCTGTGCACCAGGCTGAGTGCTTTGATGTGATGCCACCAACTTACACTGAGGGTGCTTAAGAGATTCAGCCCTGTGAGTCTTATGATCCTTTCAAATGTACAGCTTTAAGGAACCTTGTAGGAAAATTTCACCTCATTTTTTGAACCAAAGACTGTTGGGTTTCACCTGGGCAGCTGGTTATTTTTATGTCAGTGGCATTCCTCTTCGTGTTGGCTGCAAGAAAACTTAGAGCATCTGGATGCTCAAGCCCAGCCATTGCAGCCACAATGAACACATGTGGCCCCAACCTTCCTCTGCAGATCACTTATCACATTGTCCCAGAGTGTCTAGTTTGTATGTCTCCCTCCTCCACCACACTGTGAGGTCCTGAGAAACAGATAGCATGCCTTTGGAAGCCCAGTGATGGTCTTGGCCTGCAATTTAGAAGACGTTAAGTAACAATTTTTCCCAAACAGCTCCTGCCTGATAATCATGATGTTTTCTTGAAAAGACTGGCTGAAGAAAAGAAAGGGAAAAAGAAGAGACTGACTCTGTCACAGGTCTCACTGAAGCTCCTGCAGGCATCTCCCACTCAAGGTAACAGAAAGTGTTCTCTGGAATCTATCAACAGGAGGAAGGCGCTTACCTTTCATCGCAGGTCTCATCGCTGCCTCTAGGGATAAGAATGGAAGGGAGGAAACAGTCTGCTCAAGAGCTGCCTCCTTTCCAAAGCCAGTGATGGCTTTTCCTGTGACTTCATCTTGGGTGGGTCATGCAGGACATAGAAATTTCCTTCTGGAAGAGAGGAAGGATATGAAAGTCCCTCATGGCACTTTTTGGGAGCTGTCATCCACAACTGTCTATTTATGCATTACTTCAACAAACATCATTATAACATATGTGACCAAGCACTGTACTTCTACATAGAGCAAAAACTTTTTCAAAAATATTTTCTCAGTAGACTGTGTAACCACCCCTTTCCATTCCATCTAGAAAAGGTACTGATTTACATGCAATAAAAGCTGAGCCCTCAAGGTTACTCACTGATTCCCTAGTGCACATGGACCTCAGAGCCCTGAGTTATCTGCTTCACAAGAAGTATTTCCAATACTGCTTATGCTATTGGGCTTATTCATATACTTATCTCATTTATCAAAATACAATGTAAATCAATGAAAAATGATTATGAAAGGAGAATTATAGTTCCAATTAAAAGTAATACGAGTGTTCAATTAAAGGAAGTCTCAGAAATATAGTTATTGAAATGGGCAAAAATCTGACAACTATTCTAGATAGAAAACATTTAACAGTATTGAGAAATATCCTCATGCAGCATGAAATACATATGATTTTATGACCTCCACTTACTACATATAAACTGCAAATCATAGGCAAGGCTTGATGGATGCGCTTTCTGCAAGCAAGGCAGAGTATAATACCATATGCTGACACACACTCCAAGGAAATTCCTTCCCTCTCTTTCATTTTTGGTGAATGAATTCAAGGTAACAGTTTAATATGTATATTACAAATATATCCTTCTTTTCAATTGCCCTTTAACAGAGCTTTGCAGTGAACCTATTCACATGTAGTCTTCAATATATCAAGCATGCATTTTATAGCAAAGTCATTATGCTCCATCCCCTGTGCCAGGCTTTAGAGATTCAGACACAGCATCCCCTCAAGCTATAGAAGGAAGCAGTCTAGTGCAGCACAGACTGTCATACAATATGGTACATGCCATCATAGGGTTATGTTTCGGGGTCAGAGGAGAAATCATCTAAAAATTCTAAGTATATTGCAAAATTAAAAAAATTAAAAAAATAAAAAATAAAAATAAAAATTCTAAGTTCTCTTGCCTCCATCCCGAAGAGCCCAATACCAGCCCAGGAGAGGCATGACAGTATAGGTCCAGGTGGCTCCTCCTGATGGACACCATCCTCAGCAAAAGCTTTACCATTTATGCAATAGCTAGAGTCACTACGTCAAATCTGCCAACAGCCCCCAGTCTACACTCTGACATCCCCCAACACACAATTCATGAAGACATTTTTCAAGGAGAGTGCCTGCAGGTGCTTAGGTCACAGGCCTTGCTCCACTACCTATTCCTGAACTTGTTGGTCCAGCAGAGGAAGCCCTGTCTTCACCCAGCCCACTTTAGCAACCAGAGACCCTGGAATATGCAGAAATGCAGAACCTGTGTGTGCTAGATTTGGAGCACTGGACCTGGAGTTTAGGAACCTACATTTTCATGATGACTCCATCTGAAACTTGGGTCACAAGCCCAGTCTAGGCAATCCAAGCAAACAGTGCGATTATGAGGTTGCCTCTGTCTGAATCACATGCCATTTGTGCTCAGGTATCAGTTTTCAAATACGAAGGTAGGCTTTGACTTTACCAGAGATGTGGACTGGAGGTAACTTCTGTTGCAAGTCAGGCTGGAAGTAAATGACATAGAGACTAAAACAAAAGAAAACAAAACCATGCCAGTTTGGGTCAGTAGATAGAGTATTGGCCCACAGGCTGAAGGGTCCCGGGTTTGATTCTGGTCAAGGACATATACCTTGACTGCAGTTTATGGACCGGATTAGGGTGCCTGCGGACATCAATGTACCTCTCTCTCTCTCTTTTTCTCTGCCTCCTTTCCACTCTATCTAAAAATCAATGGGAAAACATCCTCAGGTGAGGATTAAAAATAAATAAATAAAAATAAAAACGAGTGTCCCAGCCTTTAGGTTTCCAAATGCAAACCCATAAACAAACTTCTCAGTTCCCCCAAAGGGTGAAGCCATCTGCGTTCTCACTTCTGGAGGCACAAACCTTCCTAATGAGGCTGGACCAGGAGACCCTCCCTCCTTGTGGACTAGACAACATCTGTTTCCCACGGCAGCCAATGGCCCTGTGGGCTCTGAGTCTTCTGACACATGCTGTCGGGATGTGATTTGCTTGGCATCAGCCAAGAGCTCGCTCTCCGGAAGTCACCTGGGATCCGTGTGAGTTGGGTGTGGGAATTGCTGGAATCAGTGAGTCTGTACCTCGGGCAGTGCGGCAGGGGAGAGCTCGCGTGAGCACTGTGCTTTGAATCAGGACTCCAGGAGCTATGCCCACCTGATGGGTAATCTAGGGCTTGGCTGCCAGGGAGTTG